GAGCGTTCTCAGATAACTCGGCCGGCGGAAACCGGTCTCGTCGTCGGCCTCGAATGTGGTAGGGGTTGAAGTTGGGATACGAAGGTATTCGATCTCGATACAGAAGGTCCAAAAGCCAGTGTTTTATCTTATGAAGTCCTCAGACGCAGCATTGCACAGAAAGAATCACTTGAAGCCTTGTGCTTTTTCGATCGGCTACCTTTTCTATATACTTCTCACTTCTCTTCTATGTGGTGTGTTATGTGGGGAATGTCGCATACGGTACACTACTAAATGGCCATTATAGACATAGGGAGTGGCGTTTCCCTCATCTTGCTATAGTTGCTAGCTTAATGACTACAGTGTCCCTCATCCGGAAGACGTCGGGTTGGATCTTGTATCACCGCTTCGAACGGGGCAGAAACGGCTCTGATTGGTCAGGAAGGGTCGTAAAGTCGGTATGCAGAACTTCAGGGCCACTGATCCACTAGAAGCACCTGACCAATCTGAACCCCAATTCAGAAACTCCAACCTAGTTAGTCTGTCTACTTTCCTCTATCTTAATCTGCTAGTTCCTGCATTCCAAGTCCTGTTCGCCTGTCGAGTAACCCCGCACCTTGACGACGTTCACGTAGCCCTAGCTTTACTATCTACTTCCAGGATGCCATCCAACACTCATTGTTAATTTCTCCTAACAGCATCTTTAGACGCCGGTCAGATTGCTTCCTGTCTCTCCGTTTTTCTTTTGTTTTCTCTACCACTTTAGGAAGCTCGGATGACTTCAAGAATCCCCAGATAAGAATAAATAGCTCAATGATTTCTTAGAGCTCCAAGACCAAAACAAAATGATCAATTCCAACTATTCACAAGCGTACTAAGTAAGGGCGCTAGGCCCGACCTTCCTCAACAGTTACTATTGCCTAGAAGTAACTTTCTCACAAGCCAAGCACTCACGTGCTGCCCATCTTGACATCCCGGTCGCCACTGGTTCGGCTTAGTTTATATCACAGCCTCTGGATGTCGATATCAAATTTGGGATATAAGCTGTCTTTGGTCCGGGGATGTATGTGGATCATCTGCATCACTTCATACACTAGGCTTTATCCTGTTGAGGGACCAGAAGTTTGTGAGCTCAACTACTGGAATCCATTGACTAGATATGTACATGGAGTAATTTTCACAAAATCAGTTCGGTGGCTGTGATACCAGCAATCTGGAGAACCAAACGAATAAGCAAACATATAGAAAGGATACTGATATCGGAGAATTTTCGGCTACCAAGCTCTACATATGTGCTCACTCGGGGGGGGGAAGGTCTTTCTCAACACTTCTAAAGTTTTTTTGTGGTTGACTATATCAAGAATCTATGGACTCGGAAGTCACGATATGTAATTCAGCTTAGATGTCCAGGATTAATGATTAAGGTCAATGTGGCGAATACAAATTTTTTCGAGCTTCGATATGCCGCTGGAAAAGGGGGCATTCTCCCAATGGCCAGAGCATGATATTCAAAACTTTTACAAATGGTTGCGAATCGATGAATTCTGACCGGAAAATCTTATCGGATACATACAGATCGAGCAGTTAAGATCGGTGACAAGAGTGTTATCAGATTTGTATCCTGAGTTTCGCCAATCTTCCTTATCTACTCAAGGACACATACCACAAAGCCCTCCTCCATACAAAGGCCCAGTCAAATACTCCTGGTCCATCACTGAATTAAGTCCTACCAGCAAGTCCTACTGTTGGTCTAACGAGGAATGAACGCATCGCTGTCGACCAGCGTTTAACTTTTTCCGTATGTATACTAGATTCTCCCGCGCTTCACCCATACAATTTACCGATTTTGATCCATTTCGGCCATACGGCTTCGCCTTTTGGGATGGCCTAAGGTGGAAGAAGCTAGAGTTGTACAATGGCTTTTATCGGCCATGGGGTGAAGATACTGACAATTTTCAGCAACCCAGCATGTCCAGGTGAAATATTTATTTTACTTGGCGGGGTCTGCTAACGGACGAGAATGAGAAGACTGGTGAAAAGAAGAGAGCATGTTTTGACAAACGAAGGAAGAATTCCGCCTTAACTGAGACAGAATGAGCACACCTCTTGATTAAACCCAACATTGGTTCTCAATGTATTTAGAATACTGGCTCGTCTTTAGGCGATGCGACTAACTCCTAGTACGATAAGCACTGCAGTTGCACTGCAGGCACAGCCCAGACGGTTAGCTCCATGTAACTTATCAATAAGTTCACTGTATTTGATTTCTAGCATGACTTCTACTTGCTAGTTGGCTCCTTACGTCAAGTAACTACGAGTAATCATTAAAGACGTTTTTAAGGTTCAAAGTTAAAATGGTCAACTATGGGTCCATGAGTAATCAAAAAAGGGATAGTACTCTTATATCCTAAGGTCTCATTGGCAAAGTATTTGAAGACCAAAAATGTAGCAGGAATATGAGTAATCAGTGATTATAAACCTAATTCCTGAAATAGATTAGAAATCTCCTTCAGCAGAAACACATCTACAGCAATGTAACTCCAGCTACTGATATAAGACACCTTTCCCAGCCATTACATTATAGAACTTATCGCAATCTACGTTGCACTACAATTTATTTTAAATATGGCATCTTTTTTCCGCCGGAGCGTCAAGTTTAACCCCGACAAGGATATCCACGACCTCTCTGGAAAGGTAATTTTGGTGACAGGCGGCAACAATGGCTTGGGCAAAGAATCAATCCTTCAACTAGCTAAACATAATCCCGCAAAGATATACATGGGTGCACGCAGTGAGAGTAAAGCTACGACCGCCATCAATGAGATAAGACAAAGTGTCCCCGGGGCGAATATCGCCTTCCTCCCTCTAGATCTCGCATCTTTCACGTCCGTGAAGAACGCGACTGATAGTTTTCTTTCCGAGAACGACCGTCTGGATATTCTCATGAACAATGCTGGGATTATGATGACGGTACCTGGTCTAACAGAGGATGGCTATGAGATCAACTTTGGCACCAATCATTTGGGACCAGCATTACTCACCAAGCTACTCCTTCCCATCCTGCAACAAACAGCCAGCGCTGGAAATGACGTTCGCATTGTTAACCTGAGTTCTGCATTGTATGCATATTCTCCGAAGGCTGGCATGCTTTTTTCCGAAAATAAGACCACCCTTGCAGATCTCGGTCTCATGGCCCGTTATGGTCAGTCTAAACTTGCGAATAACTACTTTACTAAGTCCCTTGCCGAACGTTACCCAGCTATCAAGTCCGTGGCTCTGCATCCAGGTGTCGTTCGGACAAGCATCACCGTTGAAAGCAAGAAGGCTTCGTTCCTCCTATCGTTGCTCGTGAAAGGGGCAGACATGTTGGTGTCAGTCGATGTGGCAACTGGAACATTGAACCAGTTATGGGCAAGTACTGCTGATTCTGTCAAGAGCGGTGGGTTCTATTTCCCTGTGGGAAAGGAGATGCATGGTCAAGTTCTAGATGACAGAGAATTAGCGGAGAAGTTATGGGTTTGGACCGAAAAGGAGCTGGAAGCACATGGATATTGACGAAACATCTATTGCACATCAGCTTCCTTTCTCTCTCTTTTTCCTTTATGTTATTTTTTTTTTTTTTCATTTTTTACTCCTCATTCTGTTGTTGCCTGTCTTCATAGTGTTACAGTATCAAGTGCCTGCATCACTGTCCAATTGATACTAAGGCTTCCACGTTGGAGGTGGAGGGCCAGGTTTGCCGAAGACGATCGTTTGCTGAGACAAGGATATGAGTATCATCAAATTGAACCAGTTATTCTCAGTTCATATTGAAAAAGCTGTTATCAATATATACTGCGGTTTGTGCCCACATCTAAGCCTGTAGCTATAGCAAACCCCCCAGTTGTTCGGAAGCTGCTCTCCAAACGAGCCTCTATTACAATAAGTTGAAAAGCAGAAGATATAGATTTGAAATACCTGAGCCGAAAGCCAGTGTGTCCCCTCATCTGTTCTATTTCCCGACACGTGAGAAAGAAGGCCAGCCTAAATGTAAAGAGCTGAAAGCGTAGGAGGCGGAATAGCAAACGAGCTTACGCCAGTATAAAACGGTTGCAGTATTGGGATCCTCTACTCTGTCAATGGAAGCGCCATTCCGATAGGGAATCCTCCGGGTTCATCTACATCATGATTCCGATAGCTAGGACCCATTGTCTGAGCCACGAACTACCCCCTGTAAATCAAGTGAGCACATATCTCAAAATCCCAATTGCTTCTGGTGACAACATCAACGACAACGGTGTGTCCAGAGGATATTTCAGCCATCTTTTCACGAAAGCGCGCAAAATCAGACCGTGTGTGACCTACATGTGGATGTTAACTAGGAATCGAGGGAACAATAGTTGATGAGCCGGCCGTACCAGAACAACGTCAGCTGGCTTCAAGCTATCCATATATGGCTCCTGAACCTCGCGAATCTGCCCGGTTGATCTAACCAATCTCTCCGTTATCATCTCCGCAGATCTATGAATCGCATTAGCGACAATCCATGACTCCTTTACTCCATGGAGGCACATACTCCCAACCCTCCAAATGTCCCACTCCACCTCCTTATTCAAGCCAATCTCCTTCCTACGCGACCTAATCTCGCCCACCCCCAAGCCTTCAGGATCGCCCTACCCCCAACCAGCAATATCTTCCTTGTGCGTGACCCTGTCAGCGTCCAGCCCGGAGTCAGGGCGAAAAAGATGATGGAATATCTGCTGCATCCGCCTACGCGGGCTAACCCATAGGCGCACAATGCCAGCTGCAGTCTCAGGACGTTAAAGATGCATTTGGTTTTTATATAGCATTAATGGCATTTTAATTGTTACATGTATTAAGTAGTAAAAATGGGTATGAACCTAATAGAAGGGAGGTAGGGACAGCGAGCTAAAACAAAAACCAAGCAAGAGCCCCCTCCCTCCTTATCGTAAATACGATAATGCTAGACAGAGTAGCACCGCGGAACCCAAAAAAAGAAAGGGTGAAAAGACGCAAAAATTTGACAAGAGTGGGATTTGAACCCACGCCTCTTTCGAGAGCCGAAGGCAGTACCCCAGTAATGGGGAAGATCAGAGGATCTTGACTCGGCCGCCTTAGACCGCTCGGCCATCTTGCCAATTGATATTTTATTCCTTCTAGCTATGCATATATGATGGAAAAAGATAAAAACAGTAAATAATTTGCTTTCTTCCAAACAGGAATTGCTCTATTTAAAAACTACCAATACTACCAGGCAGGCATCTAAAGGTACATAACGCTAAAATAGATTCACTGGTACTTATGGTGCTGGGATGATAGTTATACATTGGTGTATACACGACAAATGTGTTCACTCACAACTTCACAAGGGTATGACAACAGAGAAGTCCTTTCATTAAGCATCATATTGCACCCAAAGTCCACGCTTATATTTTATCCCGAACGCGTCGTACTCCTACTGTTGTTGCTAGGTTAATGACTCAATGCCAAATGGTAATCTAGCCCAAAGTTCCTTTTCCACCTCCAGTTTATCTCCATAGCCTTCTTCAAACGCGTCGCGCTTGACAATCTTCAGTCTTGTCCCTGATTATACCATACACTGCTTTAGTAAACTCCCACTACCTAGGAAATTACCCTGTACATTTCCAATTCTTTACACCGGCAAGTCTGCCTTGATAGGGTTTTATCTCCATTCTTTTCGTAGTCGTCGATCCATAATGGTGCTGGGGTGGATGTATGTTTCTCAACAAGCTGTAGAGCCATCACTTCGGTTTGTTGAGAGCGTAGTGTTTTCCCCTATGATCTGAAAGGGAGCCGGTGGACGAATCCGATATCTTCAGAGGGATGGAAATATTTTCCTAGTTTCAACATGATACAGTAAGACCACGCTCCCATGGATTTCGGCACAAAATGACAGAACTTGCGCGTCATTTGTTCATCGTCAAACAGTGTAGGGGATATGATCCAAGCAAGTCCAATGCATGGGACATTTTCACGTCTGAGGTAACCTTGGCTCCTACCATGCAGCAGTGCATGTCATCTCGCTGCTTGACAAGGTCTTCTGCCTCAGATGGTACATCATCTTGCCTAGAAACTGGGGGCAGAGGCAATGATCTCTAAAGGAAGAAAATCGACGGAGGTCGTGTCTACTTACTTCATGACCAATTGTTACCAGCCCTGCTTCAAGCCTCGAAGAGTATCTTTTAGATTGCAATGTGTTGTCTTCGACCCCAGGGGAACATATTGGGCCGCATGTCCAGGACTAATTACTTCAGTAATAAATCGCTCGAGCAGTAAGCGTTCGATAGGAGTGGGTTTCTCAGCTGTAATGAGGTTGAGGGTTCAGTCTAGAGCTCTGGTTTGCACATTCATTGCAAAGACGAAGACGAAAAAGTCCCCCGAGAAAAGAAGAACGATCTATCGTTGACTCTTGCAAGAGAGGGGCAGATTTCGGACCTTCGCCAAAACAAAGCATGATTCTTAGGTTAAACAATACCAAGGGAATGTGACTTAGCCTATGACACATCGTCCTTCGTCTAACGGAGTGGCACAATAAATCAAAATAGTTCGAAGCATCTCTAATGAGATAGGCTATGTACCCAAATCTGATTTTGGGTTGAGTAATTTAATTTACAGCATATCTCTAATTAATACTATTCCATTTCTCATGCACATGGCTCTGGATGTCGAGATCAACGGCCTCTACCTCCTGTTGTTAGATCGTGAAGACACCTTCAATTTCCACTGGGGACTTTACCTTGCCAACTCCCTGACTAGCGGTGATGTCTTCCATATTGACAATCCCATAACCTTGACTAGTTGGGAATACAAGGTCGAATCAATCAGAGACGCCACATTGAGAAATCCACTTCTCTTAACATTACAAGTGGGAGATTTGAACCAGCGCTATATGACGCCCTTGAGGACCGCCTTCGCAAATTCCCATGGAATACTACACGACCCGTTTCAAGGAGAGCATGCATTGCGGTGTGCGGGCCAAAGAGTCTCGCTTTGCGTTGGACGATGAAGGCTATATCAAACTCATGAAGCGCTTCAATGACCTTGAGCAAGAGGCCCAGTTACAAGCAATACGAAACAAGAGCCTAAGCAAGAAAATAGTCGCTAGAAGTAGAGGCACCATAGCATGATGAATCTCTGTTATTGGCTATTAATCGATCTAAAAGTTGAGATAACTCCATTGACCACCGTTGTATTGTTTTCGGAGAATGGTTGCGCTGCTTTTCTTGAGGTGTTTGTTCTGTTACCGCTGAATGTTCCTGAATCTGGTAATACTTCGTTTCGTGACCTTTATATAGCTCTTCTAATCATGTCATCATATTGTGTCGATGCGGTTTTCTGCTTTCATAGTCCACCTAATTCTATGGGATGATGTCCTGAAAGTTTTCGTCTACCTTGCTTGGTTTCGCCTTTTAGTTATCTATCCTTGTCCTCTATGTCTACTCTTTTTGAAACTTATTACTCAGATTAGCCTAGCTAGTACCCTCCTTGATATCGAATCCACTTGTAGCTATACTAAAATAAGTTTCCTAAAAGGAACTAAGAATCTGTCTTGTATGCGTTCAGTGCCAATTTTGTTCAGTTGCCATTAAATGCTCCTGAGCCCGAGAATATCCAACAATCGAAACCTAAGTAGGGTCAAAGTACCTCCCTATTTGCCTCTCCATAAACCCCCAACCTAACACTGTAGGCCGTGAGGATGTAGATCCCACCGTCCTTCAAATGTAACCAAAGATCGACGCCCTCGAACCGAGGAACTCGGCCTTGGCATCTATCATCAATTCTAATCCCCTAGCCTACAACTAAAGCACCACCACCATTCTCATCGACAACAACATCCTCTCACTACCATAGCCCAGTAAACTAAAAATATCTCAAAGAAAGCAACCCAAGAAAATGTCCACATCTCTCCAAGCAACAGCCCTAGGCTGGGTCCTCATCTCCCTCGGCCATACGGTATGCAACTTACCCAACCCAACCCACCCCTATCCCTACTCTACCCAACACCAACTAATGGTAAACGTCCCAAAAGATTTCAGCCAAAGACTGGCAATCTCTCCCTCAGGCCCGTAACCTACCTAACCTGGCCTACACCTGTGCCAAGGCAGGATGGTACCAGGGAAGTGGGTTTTTTTTGATGAATGGTTTGTTGCCATCCCTTCCTCTTACTTTTTCTTTTGTTTCTTCAAGAAAATTGGATATGAATGGGTAGATGGATACATAAATTAATGTCCCTCGGATTATCGGTGCAGGCGCTAATATAAGCTAAAGCATTAATCAACTACAACTGGTCGCAAGATCCAACTCTGCTAAACGAACCGGTGAATCAAGCTATCGCGGCGCTGATGACGGCTATTGTGGGGTTTAGCTCGGTGTGGTATTTGAAGCGGGGGGTGAAGGCGAATGGGATTGTGGTTGGTGCTATAGGGGCTTTGCAGGCTTGGGCTACTTTCGGGAATTGGTTATGATACAATTATCCAGCTTTGAACGGTAGGAAGAGATGAGTTTGATGTTATGAGGGTATTGCTGGCAAGCTGCTTTCAGGTACTTTATCATTTGTACTTGCACCAGAAACACTAGTACAGGCAGGCTGTCATGTACTGCTCTCGGATATATTGGTGAAAACCCCACTAATGGAATACCGATCAACCCCATACACCAACTTCGCCATGAAAGGTCAATTTTTACAAACAGGAAGCAAGCTGTATATATGCAAACTAATCCCCGCAGTTATTTCTCTGCGAACTCATTGCTCGTAGACGCGGCTCGACGGCCCCATCCGAAAAAGCCTCCGCCTGTGGCTGGCTCCGTGGATGCCTTCGAGAGGCTCCCCGCCGATGAGGGTGACCGAGTGATTGAATTGCGATCACCATTTTGAGACGGTGATCCCTGCGATGCTGCTATTGTCTTCCGCATTCCCTCCATTTTCACCTTCATCTCTTCCAGTTCTTGCTTGGCGACTGCTTCGGCCGTCTTCGCGTTGACCAGTTCCAGGAGAAGAGCTTCCTCGGCAACCGGCTTGTTGTTCTCCGTCGACAGGACGGTCTGCAAGCCGAGGCTGCTAGATCGTTTGGTGAATGTGCTTCTTTGCGAGTTGGTGCGGACCAGTTTAAGCTCCCGCAGGCCACCTGCGATTCCCTCTCCCGGTTCGCTGACCGGCGATCCATATTCCGTTGGGGTTCCGGAGCTACTTCGGGGATTCCGAGCCGTGCGCAGCTCGCGCACCATGCGCTCGAGTCGTTGCCGGTCTCGGTACCCATCTTGGATTCGACCCCGCGCTTCCCGCAGCTGCTCACGTAGCGAGGAGTTCTCGTGCTCATGCTCGTCAATCCGGCGGGTCAAGTCAAGACACCGACCGGCTTCCACAGAGTGCATCTCTTTCCACCGGTTGAGGTCTTCCAGAAGTTGATGTTTGCTATGGCCGATTGAATCTTGTTCGGTGGTTTCAGTCGCTCCAAAGCGTTCTTCCGCTTTAGCGATCAGGTCGGTAGGGGGATTGTCAAGTCCCTTGATGTAGTTCAACATAGACTTGGACAGTTCTTGGTCGGCTTCACGCTCTTCGCGCTCCTGTTGCAATTCCCGCGTGAGGTCCGCGTGCTGTCGTTGCAAGTCACTGAGTGCCATCAGGAGGTCCTCGATCTGCGTATGCAGGTCGCGGTCTTTGTGCTGAGACATGACGGACTTGGCGCGCGGCTTCGGCGCTTCGGTAGACAGCTCAGTCGGTGCAGTGCTGGCATCTGACGTGGATTCTATCGAGTTGAGGGTCGAAGTCATGCTTTGTTTAGATGTGGTGCGACGAATGCTGGCCGATGTACTAGCGTGATTCGGGTTGAGGGTAAACGGCTTGGCAGACGTGTGACCGGAGCTGGACCCCGCCCAGAATCGCCCCAAGAACCGGGAGGCCGCTGCTTGCATCTGGGGGAACGAAATCCCGGTCGGCACCCCTTGCGATTGGTTGTAGCTGGCTTCTAAGGTCTGCAGGCTATCCTTTGTTACAAGCGAGGTTAAAGAGACAAAGTCGTTGACAAAATCATCCGCATGGCAAGCATATCTACTCCTAAATTAGTCTAAGCTCTTGAATCGACCCGGGTTAGGTTGCGACTTACGTATCCCACAGGC